CAATCAAATGCATATTCTTACGTATACAAACATAGTAAAACAGTGCTTTTAGTTAAACGACAGTACTAAGGTGGAAACACCTTTTGTGATCCATTTCCGGGATACTTTTCAGTAATATACTTGCTTATTGCTTGATGTCATGAATATCAGCGAATCGATGTATTTTCAGGATATGGTTCTGTTTTGAATACAGCCAAATATCGCATATACTCGCTCTGATTTATTAGATAGATTGATATTTTTTGTAATTCTACGTCGGCAATTTAAAATGTTTAAAGTACAATACGTATGAAACAGCATACCTACATTTAAGGTCAGGTGTTTACTTGATAGATTTTTGACCAAATATAAAGAATTGGTCAAAACATGTGAGCAATCACTAGGTTTTAGAGAGACTGGAAACAAAATGGAAACTTATAAATAACACCAGGAAGAGGCAGTTGAAATTTCTGGGAGATGTAATGAAGAAAGAAGGCTTGGCAAATATGATACTCACGGGGCGGATTGAGGGAAAGAGCGACAGAGGAAAGCAGTAGTTGATGGGGATAAGCAAACAGAATGCAGAAGATGGTTTGATTGAAATAACAGAAAGACAAAACTTATTAAGAGCTACAAAGGACATAAAAATCTGGAGGGCCGTGATCGCCTACTTCCTGAAGGGACACAACACATAAAAGGAGAATGCATATGAGAAATGTCATGATGGGCATGCATTTATCAGAACAGATTTCGGCTATTTTACTTTGAATACGTTATTTAAACCCTTTCAAAATGAGGTGTGTCATATTTATCATGAAATAGAAAAAGTGATACGTGTTCCTGTCATAATGTTAGCGGAAAATAATGAAAACGTTTGATTTGCATGTATGCTAATAATTTGCAATTAAATTAACGTACATTTAATGTCTTGAAGCAATACATGTGTGAATTATTTTTTCCTACTGCATGCGCTGGCGTTTTGCTAGGAGGTCGTATTGAAATGCCACGTTTCATCATCAGCACTGACCTCGTTAAACATCTTTTAATATTAGAAAATCATACGAAGCCTTCAATCTACGAGATTCCTGATTCAAGTTTCATGATAACAATTTGAGGAAACGTCTGTCTATATTTCTCAGATGAGTTATTGTCATTACTTAAACTATTTACACTATTTACACTCGTCAGACAGTTCTCATCTTTACTGCCATATTCACTACTTTCCGATCATTGTACTCTGAAGTCTTCTTCAGGAGATATCAGTTGGAATTACGAACCGAACTCATTATTTAGTCTATGCGGGTAGATTGTTCTAATTCAGACCTTTGGATATCTATGTTTCAGCTAATTTTTTTTTGGTAACTCAAATCTCCAAGATTTTGTTCCCGCTGCTATTTCTAGGCATTGAACTCACAACGCCTTTGGTCAAATCACTTTTAGGATCACTCAACCAACACGTTTATTATGTCGGGACATCTGTAAGTGAATCTTCTGTACTCATAAACCTAATATCTTAGTAACCATTTTTTACTAGAGCCTATATTATATTTTTGCTATTGTTGTTATTTCTGAATATGGCAATAAAGATGAGAACAACAATCCGATTAATGTAAATGGTGTAAAGAATTTGAGGATAATTTTAATTATTTCAAAACCTTCTATTAGAGTCTGCAACACTGTATCTCTCTCTATATATTCAGTTCTCCTGCAATCAATCGAACACGTAATCTTTGATCTGAGTTTCACAATGTTCACTCACTTTTCCCATTTTCATGTGAACGCCGTGATATTTTGTCAATTATTTCAACATCCTACCTCACTCTGACTCTGCTTTGAATCGAAGATACTGAATTTCATCAAAGAATGATCAATATAACCCGTTTTAATAGGCTCACACTCTAATAGCACTTTGCAATCATTCACTCAAATACTTCAGATACCTTTAAATTATTTCCCGCTAAAATATTGACAGGAACACAGCACTTTCTCTGCTACTTGGTAAAGTATGATTCATTTGGTATCCAATATCAAGAACGCAGAATATATATGGAATCGTCTGTGAACATATATATGTGAAAGCTGGACTCATTCCTGGAATTAAATTATAGCACATGTGCAGTCACCTATATATAATGTGAGTATGCATTCGTATGAACATCGATATACATCTCCTTTCTTTTATTGATGACTTGTTGCCTGTTGCTCATCGGAGTTAGTTGTTTGGTGATTAAGCATAGATAAGATTTGGATTTCAAATATGGAATTCGAGAGAGAGGAATTACTCCGATATGTATTACGCAACATACTCATCAAGCCATGGTTAATTAACTGTATGCACAGGCTCACTTTTTGCCTGACTGTAAGCATATAGAGACATACACATAAAAGTAAGTCTGTAGTGTGTATAACTGCATTTATACATCAGACTTAATTAGTTATCAAAAATAGTATATATTACAGGGTGTTGCAGCAAAAACCGACACTTGACAAACAGAAAACGAAATAGGCAATAAAAACAAAAGCACAGACCCGACAGTTTAGTTAGCATTATTTTTCAATGTAAAACCCGGTGGCAGCGACGATCATCTAAACGCGGGCGCAAAATAAGTCACACGTTTTGGCGACCATGTCCATGTCCATAGCAGCCAACGCCTACACGATGACAGCCTTCAGAGAGTCGACCGTGGTGTGGGCGTGCTTGTTGGTCTTGGCCTCGATCACGCCCCAGAAGAAATAGTCAAGGGGGTTGCAGTCGGGTGAGAAGGGCGGCCCCAAGTTCGGCGACCGGTGGTGAGGAACGTTGTTGAGCAAGCACGCCTGTGTCGTCTTGGACTTGAGTGTAGGAGCTTGAGCTCGTTTAGCAAAGCCGCTGCCTTGGTCTTCCTCGACTCCTTGGAGGAATTCGTGATCAGCATCCGGTAGGACTTCCGGTAGGACTTCCGGCAGGACATCCGGTAGGAGGAGTAAACAATGTCCTTCTTGATCGTTCGGCAGATCGTCTACTTGTGACAGCCCATGTCAGAGGCGATCATGGCGTAGATCTGGCTTCCATCATTGTCGCCTGTCTCTATGACGACGGCGACGAACTCGTCGGTCCTAACGGCTGAAGAACGTAGTGTGCCTTTCGTATGGCAGTAAACTAGTCCTTGTACTCACATGCCTTCCACATCTTCCATATGTCCTTGACCAAGGCCCTCTGGAAACCAAACCAGGCCATCACTTCCGCAGGCTTATTCCCGACACAAAAAGAAGATACTACCGCTGCTCTGTGCTCATATTCCAATCTGGAAAAGGTTAGAGAGAAAAGACTGTTGGATATTTGCATATACAACATTTGTTTTCATTGCCTATTTCGTTTTCTTTTAAACAAGTGTCGGATTTTGATGCAACACCCTGTATTCTGTACAAGAGAACGTTAACGAGTTAATATTCATCTTTGTCAAAATGAAATATGGTACCGTTGTTAATGAGATACTCGAAAATGACAGAATGTTAGATGAACAAAGTCGCCAACTGGGAAATTCCCCAGCCTTCTTCAGTTGGTTGGGATGTCGAACTTAACCCTTTATTTCAGTTAAGGCAGAGGAGAACTTGGAGATGGGTATTAACAGGAGATAACTGATAAATGACATCCATTAAACAGTCTACCCCAGTAAGCGAAATGAAGGGTTCAGTTCGACATTCCAAATACCTGAAGAAGGCCAGAGCGTACAACAGCTGAAACGTTGTAATAAATACGACGGCAAACATGAAGACAGTAGTTTGAATGATGTAAATAGTGGATATTGTCTTCCTTTAGCTAGTTTAAAATAGCAATCTGTTGCAGCTGAAATTAGAGAAAAACTGAGCATTAAATAGTAACCCCAACGTGCTAACATTAAAAGCTGTAATTATTAAATAAAAACAAAATATAATTACGAACCATAAATATGGCATAACAATTACGTAGGGAATGTTATTGTATAACCTATACGACATACCTTAAGTTGATCACCGTATTCTTTTCTGAAATAAAAATATATATACAATTTATATACAATGATATTTAAAGTTTTGTTATTAAATATATTCATAAACCCGCAGACTTTAATCTAAGCAGCCAAGTTCTGCTTATTGTGTCTAGCTTATTGAAACGTCTTATTCTTCGTATTTCTACAGACCTAATACTGTATCCGATTATTTTACAGGTCGTCGAGTGTAGCATAAAATCTGTCAGTATGAAAAGAACTGCATTAGCTAAACTCAAATCCAAATTTCAAGATATATTTTGAAGATCATTCTGTTTACACAGATTCAGTTTCTGTCTTCCTGCCTGTCTATATAACTATCTGTTGAATGATAAGCACAAATTTAAACTTATCTATGAATATGTGTTATTAATGAATAAATGATTTATTCGTTTTAAAAAAAAGAACGATACATTAAACAGTGAACACACTGAGAATTAATTGAAATAGCGCCCCAGAAAATTGTTAAAAATGCAAACTGTTTACAATGCATTCAGTAGTACTCATATTGGAAATTTTCCATCGGCTCCAGAACGTGTGCCCTGATAAAAACATCCGGGATATTTCCGTACAGTAAACGTTCTCCCATTTACTTAATTGTACATACCCCGAAATTATTAATAACATTTTGTTTCGTTGAGACTCGTTGGTTATGAACGTAATCGATTTTGCTCCAATTGTCTTTGCAGTTAATGTAGATATAATAGGGTGGCCTAGCCAAATGCTCATTCGACCGCACCCTTCTTAAGCTTCAAGGCATATAAGTAATAAGATATTTTGTCGAGATATCTGGCGATGGGCAGACGATATGGTGTTTATACATTTCTCCAAATTATTAGTTCGATGCCAACAAGAGAAAATGAGCTGAAGTTTAAACTCTTCCCAGATTCCATTTTTATTGGAGAAAAATATAAACTTCCATTAAAAGAATGCCGTGACTATGTTCATTAGGAAGAAGGGCGATCCAAGGAACAGAAAACTTTTACTGAGAACAATGAAAGGTTTTCTGAAACTCTATAAAAGGTAAATGATTGAATCCTGGACAACGAAAACGATTATAAAGAAGTGAATGCTGGACAATGAGGACGAAAAGAAAAATGAGAATGCTGGATGGTGAAATGAGGAAATGCTAGATTGAATACGATGAAAAATGAGGGAATGCTGGACAATGAAGAGAAAGAGAAAGGAGTGATTGATGGGCAATGAAGAAGAGAAATGAGTGAATGCTGGACAATGAAGACGAAGAGGCATGAATGAAGTCTGGATCATGAAGACGAAGAGAAATAAATGATTGCAGGACAATGAAGACGAAGAAAAATGAGTGAATGCTGGACAATGAAGACGAAAGGAAATGAATGAATGTTGCACAATGCAGACGAAGTGAAATGAATGAATATTAGACAACGAAGAAAAAGAGAAGTGAATGAATATCGGACAATGAAGACGAAGAGAAATAAGTGAATCCTGGTCTATGACGACATGACTATTGGCTTGACTGTTCAGTTTTAACGCCATATCAACTCTATCGTTTATTTAATGCCGAAAACATTTTTATTAGATATATGACTCGTAAGCAATCATTTGATTCGTTGATTACATCACTTTTTAGTTATTCCTTTAGAAGGGAGGTAATTAGGGTCATGATTTGTGGTAAATACCAACCTAGTTCAAGGCTAGTGTAGACTCTACTATTATCTTCTTGAAAATGTCTTCTTCATTAGTCTTGTAATAAAACCTTAGATATACAGAGCTAAGTCTACTACAACCTGTTCGAATGTTTTATGGTATATATCTTAGTACATGATGAACACTGAGACGTTCGTTTTTAGTGGAAACGCATGATTCATGTAGGTTTTTCCTATTCTTATTCTTGCAGGACGACTTCTTCTTTCAGGAAAGTAAGAGTACAGGATGCCATTAATTTCGTAAAGTTTGTTGTTTCTTTATTAGGCCTCTGAATCATTCCCTTTTATAATGGATGTGTTTATAGTTGATTTGAAGTCTGTATAGGTGATATCCAAGATTGAAATGTTCATTTGTAGTGTTTAATATGTCACAATATCAGCTTTTATATTTCCGTGCATGCCAATCTATTAGATATTTTTGCAGATTTAACCTGTTGATTAATTTAATTATTAAGGGATTGTTTCTATTTCTCAGTGATGTGAGTATTGATAGTGAATCTGAGAAAACTATTCATTTGTCAAGCCTATTATCTGTTATTATATGCAACGCTAAGCGCATGATTATAGTTTCCTGCACTACAAATAGAGCATCTTTCAAGTATATATCCGTTGATTGTTATGTCATCAAGAACGGTGGAACATCCGAAAATATAAATGGTTTCTATCAGTGTATATCTGCTTAAACATTGCTATAATATTATTAGTTTCTTTCGAAAAGAGGTAGATATACAGTTATTAATTTTAGGATGCTTGGAATTTTTAGGATGTGTGGCGGTCTGCTACCCAAAATAGGTTATCCAGAGAAGTAGTTTCACGTGTTAAGGTAGAGTCAGTTCAATATTCATTAACAATGTTTTCCATGCAAATGCGAAAAGGATTGGTGGCTATTTTTATTATATAGATATATGAATCCTTATATATTGCATGGAAAACGAATGGACACAACAAAGACGTGATTCTACAAAAAAAAACTCAATAGACACATGTAGTAAGAATCAGAATGGGGGGAGGCAATAGAAAAATGAGAAAAGAAGGCTCAGAAAATTTGACACGTATAGGGAATATTGAAAGCAAGTAAAGCAGAGGAAAACAGCAAATAATCAACATTATAATCTTGTATAAATCAATGGCAGGACCATGACAGGTATGGATTCGTAACTCTAGTTATTAGAGATATGCAGTATAGTTTGTTGTGGAGAAACATGATAGCAAACGTCAAGAATGAATACGTACATGGAATGGTATATGTTGAGAAACCCGAAAGTGATCTATCTATCTATCTATCTATCTATCTATCTATCTATATCTCTCTCTCTCTCTATATATATATATATATATATATATATATATATATATATATATATATATATATATATAGGTGTGTGTGCGTGCGCGTGTGTGCTTATATAAATTGTTTGTCAATCTGCCTGTATTTCTCCGTCTAACCATTCTCTCTCTCTCTCTCTCTCTCTATATATATATATATATATATATATATATATATATATATATATATATATATATATATATATATATATATGTGTGTGTGTGTGTGTGTGTGTGTGTGTGTTTATGTGTCGATATCTTTCTCAATTTTCCTATATACAAGTCTCTCCTTCTTTTGATATATGTGTGTATGTGTGTACACACACATTTTCAGTCTGCCTATATGTTTATCTATCTATCTATCTATCTATCTATCTATCTATCTATCTATCTATATATCTATCTATATATATATATACATATATATATATATATATATATATATATATATATATATATATATAAATTTTATATAGATGTACACGCAAAGGTAAGCATTCGCATTTGCATACACAGAGATGGCAAACAGCACAATGAATACATTTATATCGATTTTGAAAGAGAAAGTGTAATATATCATTACATCAATATCTGGTGACTCATGTTTATACGAAGGGAATTCAGAATTTCTCAGAAACTATTTTAATATCGATTTTTTTAAAAGTAAAATGAACTAAATTTATCCGATTAACTTTTTTTAATTGAACGATTTTTTCAGAAAGAAGAATCTTGTGAAAACAATCAATCATGCGACATCAAAGTAACTAAAAATGTCTCACCAAAACATTGACTCAAGTTTACTTATTATTTTTCTCTCTCTTACACACTCATATATGAATGTGAAAGACATATATATATATATATATATATATATATATATATATATATATATATATATATATATTCGTATTTGAGTTCATATATTATATATTTAGACTGCAATTCCTCTTTTATACATGATTTGTTAAAGACGACTGACAGAGTACTGTGGTTAAACTTTTTATTTAATTTCTCTTGTGTTCGTAGAATTATTTCCTTTTCTGGAAACAAACTGTGTAAAAATTGTCGAAATGTTCTTCATATCCGAGCGCTTTCAGTTATTCATTTAGACATTATCAACATCAATGTCGTTATTTTTAACTGAATGTGTATTTTATTTAAAAATGTGTTTGAAGTTATAGAAATGTGTTATTTTCTAAACACTGTCAGCACATTGTGGTAATGTTATTACGTCTTGGCTTTTCCTTTTACATTGCTATGCTTCCATTCTTTTTTAATCTTCTTTACATGCGGATGAGGCTATTATGCTTACGCATATGTGCCTAGAAATGCAAACAGTTGTACGAACAAAAGGACATTAAATAAAAAAGCTTAAACACAGTGATTTTTCAGTCATCTTTAACGAAGCAAGTATAGATTTTGAAGAAATAGGTATGAAGTTTATGAACACTATGTACACAGCGATTTGGGTTGTAGTCCTCCAAGAAAAAAAAAATATATATATATATATATATATATATATATATATATATATATATATATATATATATATATATATATATATATATATACATAAATGTTTATCGAATATTTTTCTCAAGAGAATAGATAGGTTCGCCTATTGTCCTGTTCAGATTCCCTCTCTGTCATTTGAACGAGAGTAGATTGTTATTCCCTGTTTCCTTTTTAGGTTTAGGTTTCGGGTTTCTTTTAATGTCTGATCAAATAATTTACAAATTCCTATCGGTGAATCACACATCTTTACCGAAAGAATATAAGCTGAATATACCTCATTCGCAGAGAAATATATTTATTTTTAAAAGTTCACCTGTAACGGTGACCTTACATTTAATAAAAAATGGAAGTACATATATATATATATATATATATATATATATATATATATATATATATATATATATATATATATATATATATATATAATCAAGACCAAATTCAGACACACTATAAATACAATGTGAATATATAGAAAACAGAGTAAATATAAAAGAAACAGCACTTAAATATTGCTTCTGTCTGAGACTCTCAGTTTTAAATAAATAAATGTCTCAACTTGCCTAGTTGTTTATGGATGTACGCGATTTTATTTTTATAAAGTTAAAAGCACCTGCCTATTTTTTGATCTTCCTTTACGACCATTTAGTGTATAAATCAATATCTCTCAACTGGTGCACCCGGTCACAATAATGCACCCTGAACGGTAGCCAGCTGTGCCCCAACTTAAGAGTAGAGTAATTTATGCTTTATTTTCATATGTATAAAAAATATTTACCCATAAAAATATAGAGACAATAAGGACATGGCATACATGCCTAAGCCAAATTATTTCATTTGGTACTTTAAAATGGATGCTAAATTCTTAATCTACACAAACGGCTTGGATGAGCCTTTCCTTTTAGCCCTTCTCAATGGAGTTAAATGAGTCATTATCGTCATCTAGAAAAGAAGAGTTTATTCTTCGTGAATCCTTTTAAGTGATAACTGTGCCGCTAATATTCTTCGGGAATACTAAACAAAAATTTCATATTTTCATATACCATGCCTAATTTTTTCCTTATTAAAATTTAAGCTTCGTCCCACAAACATATAAGATTACGAAACACCGCTATAGATAATTCTTGCTAGGTAATTCAATTAATCAATCTTGTCAGGTAGCTAAATCGGTTAGGGTAACTATCCCTTCGAACTCTCCTGTAATTGTTATACACATAATCTCCTCTCATTATCTACGGTAAAACTTCCTGTTTAGCAATAAAGCTTTTATTTGAAGTTCATAATATCTTCAAACGTTTCTCATAAGACTCAGGCGGCGGGGGCGGCTTCTTCTTCTTTTCTTCTTTCTTTTCTTCTTCTTCTTCTTCTTTACGAACATGTTGATCACGGTTTTATACAATTTTCTGTCCTTTGTAGCTCTTAATAAATGTTATCTTTTTGTCATTTCCCTGTTCTGCCATCCATTTACTCAAGCATGCTAGCTAGAGTAATCGTAGTTTTTATCTCTTCGGCTTGCCTCCAATCTGTCTCGTGAATTTCAAATTTTTCTATTCATCTTTTCTCATTTTAAATTCCAATTCTCTCCTTCTGATATTAAGAATCCTTTTTGTTTTCATTTTTGCTGTAACTTCGTCTCAGTCGCCCTTCTGTAGAAGCATGTGTAAGGATATTTTCGTGATTTCCATGCCATGTAGGATATGACTGATATTACATAACAGTCCAGTACTATTTACTTTCTTTCTAAATAAATTTGCCTGCTTCTTAATACTTTTCTTAGCTTTTGAAAGGTAGATTACTCTCTTACAATGCGTCTTCAGGTGCAGAAGACGATAACGCAAATTCTAACATTTATCAAAGGAACGACATCTGTTACAAGTAATGCCTTTATTTGGAATTAGATTATTCGACATTCACTGCTATAAAGTGACATAACTTTTGAACTGGACTCTCCTCGTTTAGCTTTTTCTTTTTTTTAATTTTCTTAAATATATATTTCCACTTTTTTATAAATATTTTCAAAGCGGTTGCAACAATGAATTCTCTTCCTTTGTACATTGAAGGGCTTAATTTATGTTTTAGATTGACAATCAAAATTCATTTTCCTCTTAAAATAGCTATATATAAATTTAAGTTATATTATAATAGTCTATTTTCTGTTGAATTCTCGTCTTATTTCCTGTATTCCTGCCACCAACAATCTTCGGAAATTGAATTGGAATGTCAATTGAAATCTGTCATCCTGAACCATGTTATTTTACTGTCTTTTTTTCCTTACTAAAGTTTTCTCATACTTTTTTCCCTCCCAGTATGCTCTTGCATCTTAGTGACATTATTGCTTTGCTCGGGGTGAAATGATTATAAAAAAATATTCAGGTTCAAAAATTCTATTCCACCATTCCTGTGTGCCATAAATATATTTTCTCAAGTTCGGTTTTCTGTTACCAGCTTTCGAATAATTTTCACTTTCCACACCTGCTTGATTTTAACTCCCCTGATAGGTAATTCTAATTCTATATTGTCTATTCTGGAGTACAACCATAAAGTCTATCTTCATGCATTGTCTACTTATTTCTTGCTGCTTTCTTTGTCCTTCTGAATTCTCCAAAAGGACAAAATGTATATAAGACAAAGAGCGTGTAACAGTAAAATAGAAGCCGAAAATACAGGTATCCCTAAAGACTGGGTATGTAGAAAATCTCGTTTACAATATTTTTACCTCCACATATTAAAGAGGGTTTTGATCGAAAGAAGAAAGAGTGACTTATTTTTGTGTTATATGATAAAGGAAAACGTTTACTCAATGAAAATCATATATGCAACACACTTATTTGAACACATAAAGATCGAACGTAATAAATTTATGGAAATATGGAGTCATTGCATAGTGTTCACGTGAACAGTGCAAAGCGCATCGGACAAATGGTGTAAATTATATTGAAGGTGTTATTTACTAATATTCCAATTCAATTTTTTCGAAAATCCCATTTCTTGAAAATATGGATATTTGCCTTTGTCTCCAGACATAAGGGACACACTTTAAATCATTATTTATTAATTATATTAATTACCTACTTATTCTTCATTCTGACACAAGTTCTTTTTGCTATTTAGAACATAATACCGAAGTGAAGTAGACATCGATAAGATTTATTTAACATATGTCTTAAACATTTAATTACTAAGGTTTACTTAACAGAAAATCAAACTATGGGAGGAAAGGATTGAACCATTGACAAATTCACTTGGTCGGTTTCAAATGCTTAATAACAACTGTATTGTTGTAACTGAATCTCCCGGGAGAGAATATAATTTCACATCAGAGAATAAATTTAGAACATACATTTATTATTATTGTAAATATTTCTCTCATGAGATTTTCAGATTTATATAAGATTATGTTATAACTACGAAGGCATTTTTCTCAAGAGATTTTCCTGTGTATTATACAGTATAATTCTCTTAAACATGTATCGGAAATATTAACGCGTGATGTTCTTCTTAAGTTGTATGTCTTGCCATTACTTATTTGTTTGCTAATATATATTTGCTTAATTATGTTTACGCACGTTGATAAGAGAATGATGAATATTTCTCTTCCTAGACAGTGTGAAATTGCACACACATATATATATATATATATATATATATATATATATATATATATATATATATATACATAGATAGATAGATAGATAGATAGATAGATAGATAGAAATTTAGTTCATCTTTCTTTTTTTTTTGACATGTGCAAATTAATAACAGTATAATTCCGCGAATGATGCTAACGTTTGAAAAGTTTTACATGAATATTTGTTACTAAAGAATTTTGTAAAAGAAACACGACAATTCGATATCATATTTAAAGACAGTAACGCTAATGACAATGTTATTATAAGTGACATCAGTATGTCTAAGGCGATTTTAATAGCATTATAACATACTCTTTCATTGCAAATGGATCTTCCTTTATATGAACTTTTAGTCGTATGATTTCACATGTTTTTAATCTACATAAATTCTCTACGTGTTCATAGGCTTTTTGCTTGCATATATGTATTCCGAAAAGTCGTACATATAATTTAATTTCAAATATATATATATATATATATATATATATATATATATATATATATATAAAAATTAAATTATATATATATATATATATATACATACATATATATATATATAAAATTAAATTATATTTATATATATATATATATATATATATATATATATATGAGCATTTTCAAGTACTTTATATTTCGACAAACGTTTTCAAGATATCTGTTTTAGCGAAAAGTTGTGTATTTATGAGCATCTGTTCTGTCTGCACGATTTTGTATATGTAGATATAAATGAACGTATGAAAGAATGTGCGCCTGAATTTCTGCTTCTCCGCTTCCACCGTATGCGAAAGTGCGTTCCCCAACCTCCAGAGAGCGTACGTTAGGCATAATTACCAATTGCCCCCCACTCGCCTCACTATCATGCAGCCAATTATAAGAGCCTTAACCCATTTTAGTTAGAAAGAGGAATGCGCGCTTCAACTTCCGATTACTTTTTTTTTTTTAATCCAAATTTGAAAATTGCTGGAAAATCGTTCTCTGTGGACAAATCATGGATAGCGCACGGTCCCTCGCCACTCCATATTCTTTCTCCAATTTTAGAAAATAGTCTCTTGCAGATGTCAAAGCGCGTGCCTCATATTAATTATACATGCTTGTTAAAATGAAAATTAAAGGCAATGAATCTTTAAGATGCACTCGAATGTTTTCAATTAGTTCAGGTAAGGCTAATTTGAAATATACTGAGTGTTGATTGTATCAGAGGAAATCGACGTTTTCGACTACTTCCTTTGCTTTTATTATTCCCATTATGGAATTTACTTATTTTTATTCGGATATCTATTCAGCATTATTGTTACTATTATTATTATTACTATTATTATTATTATTATTATTATTATTATTATTATTATTATGATTATTGTTATTATTATTATTATCGTAGTCGTCAGCTTTTCCATAAAGTGTAATATTAATATTTCTCAAAACTGTCATCATTTATTTTTACTTTAGTTTATCATTAGTTGAATGTTCACAACAGATACATGATAAACACTGTAGGAGGAAGCAAGTCTGCCTAGCACTGTAGCACCTTACTCAGTATAAGTGCACAAACATATTTCTGTGTGCCATTCCACCAATTTTCAATTCCTCCAGCCTAAAATCTAATATAAAAACCTTGCTAGATATTTTAAACTCTGATTTGCTGTAAGAGAGTAGAGTTGTATTCTCCATGGTGATATTATTGAAACACCACCTAGTTAGCACGCCTTTTACTATTTTGACTTGAATAAATGAGAGTATTTAACAGCTATAGGATATACTGAAGCACATTTGCAAACAGCGATTACCCTACCTGAGGATTTCATGTAAATGTTTGAGAAATCAGTGACCAGGAATGATGAGAAAGTAAATAATATTTCTTAGAGCTATAAAGGACACCAAATTGTAGAGATTGATGATCACTACTTGCTGAAGTGACACAATATAAAAGAAGAATAATGTATTTTAAGAATTTGCTTAAATAGATAGCTCCACTTATTCACTAAAAGATGAGTATACTGTACCCTATACTTAATAAAAACACAGGTTTATCGTCAAAATCATTATGTTATTATCAAGAAGAATTACCAGAGGTGTTTTTGATTATTCTATTATGTTGTTGGCTCTGCTAAGAACTATTGTAATTTTGGTTACATATCTTATTTTTGCATCAGAATCAGAAACAAATATCAGAATCGGAAATTTTAGCATATTGTTTTACGCTGATAAACAAATTGATTTGAAAATTCTGGTAAAAATTACAAAACTGTTGGATTTCAGTTACAATTTCAAGACTTATTCGCAAATAAAGGAAATTAGATTAGAAATGTTTTCTTTTTATAAAATCATGATAAAAAATATATTTTTACATCTATTGCCGTTTCAATTATTTATTTTTATGAAATTTCGAGACAGTGAATTTTGTCTCGCTTAATGTGTATATTAGTTAAAACCTGAACTCTTTAGAAAATTTAATGATCAATTTCTTTTGTAAAATAGGACCACCAATTACCGAAACCGTAAATTGAATCGTAGGATAAAAAATAAAATAAAATTAAGATAGTATTTAATTATATAAAAAAAAAAAAATTATGTATAAGATATATTATGGGCATTATTGTCTTAAGAAAATATTTTTTCGATGAATAATGAATTTTTACAAGAACTGTTTTCATTTTTTAATATTTTAATTTGAATAATTTATAAAGTATTATATCATTTAAATTTCTGTATTACGTTGTCACGATTAGGTGATTTTTGTTAATATGTAAAAATTATATTTATTAATAATAGTTTGGACAATTCTTCGGCTAGTAATATTTTAAAAGTAATCTTGTAATTTTGTGTGTGTGTATGTGTATGTATTAACGTGCCGATTTTTGTAAATAATGATGTCCATATACGAAATTATTAGAAAATAAGAACGATAACTCTTGTAATTTTAAAGCCATCGTATCTAAAGTTCAATAAAATATTAAATTACGTAGAATATTTTTCAAAATTTATAAGTCTACCGGGTAGTTAAATAATATATAAAAAGGCGCTCACATTATTTTCTTCAAGAACATTTTACAGATATCTACATTGTAGGAAATAAATTAAATAATTTCGGTCCGTAATTCAAGCTGACAGCTAGACAATACCTTAAATGAACAGTTACCACAGTTTTAAAAAGGTATTTCGGCGACATTTATACTAAACCTAAATCAATTTTGTTTCAAATCAGATTAATTAAACTTTTAATCAGCTACTATTGCTCAAATAAAGATTAAGAAAATATTTTTTAAATATATGTTTTTGATTAATAGAATTACAATGTGATGAAAGATGGCTAAAAATCGCGCTAAAATCAGCATTTTCAATAATTTCAAAACGAAAATTCACTCCATGAATTTAAATTAGGTTTGAAATACGAGCAAAGTATTTGGCTTATTGGAAATATTAAATTTAATCTATTATTTGAAATAATTTGAAAACTAAAACAAAAGTTTCACGAAACACATTTCATTTTTCAAAATTCCTTATTTGTCAGAAAATATAATATTATTCCATAATTTTTTTTCTGTAATTTTTTTTTTTACCACAGAAACATTGCTATGCAAACGAACCAATAGACCTGTTTCCTTCTTTACCAAATATCCGGGTTCTCTTACTGTCATGCGTTCATAGCTGTAGTTGCTAAATACTTACATAGATTCTGGTGTATTAAGCAAATAATTGAAAAGAAAATGTATTTACGCAATTCCACAACATTCTTAATGATTTTATTAATAATTTAAATAAATAAACCGCAAAATCTGCTTGCTCATCAGTGTATCTTAAACCTCTTTATCTTGCTCTACATAGACATCTTATACTTTTTTAGAATCAGGATTTGTCGCGATTGAAAATCTGGCCTTCATCTCGTGCTTGACGAGGGAACAGTTAAAAATTCAAATTTTAAAATAATTGAAAACATTTAGTTTTTTCAAATGTTGTTTTTATTTATATAGAGTTTAAAGTAACACAAATATTTTGTGTATTTAAAAATATTGTTTTAAAATGATTTTAAAATATCTCCGAAATTTTCGAATGCAGAAAATTAATTTTATTTCTTCAAAATACCAAATAATCAGAGTTAAAATGGGAGTTTTTTTTCTGATTTTCAATCAATTTTCTATCTGAATTGGAGTTTCAGTCCAAATAGGACATTCGGTCCAAATCGATCTTTTGGCCAGAATTGGATTATAGCACGAATCAGAGTTAAATTGAGGCTTTGAAGTCCATGGAAATTATTTCTTCAAAATTATCATTACAGTTTTCTTAGCTATAATAGGGATCTATTAGCCCTCCATCAGAGCTAGCTTAAAAGTTCGCACAGAGTACGGCATTTAAATTGTTGCAATATAATTTGATATTATTCCAAGCTCTTTAATAATGAAAATATTTTTGTGATCCACATAAACGTATTCTTTTCTGTTTTTCTCTCTGTTTTCACATCGTTTTTCATTGGTCAGTTGTCAAATTCTTTGATTTGTTTTATTTTACAGTGACTTGTTTTATGAGATTTATGTCATAATCTATGTCAACATCTGACAGAATTTCATTTTTCTCCGAAGTCTTCTAGAATTCGTTTGATCAATTTTCTTTCTCTACGAAAGGAAGTCCTGTGAAGGACTATTTCTATCATGTCTCTTTACTTTTTATTCTATCAGTGAGACAATTTTCATTGTCGCGGTATATATTCCTAGTCATTTCGTTATTTATTTCATATTTGACGTTGTTCAAATGCATTTGATTTTCTATTATATTACTTGAGGTTCTGTCTCAGAATTCATGTCATATTTGAGACATTATTTATAACATTACAAATTCCTTGCTATTCCTTAGACCTTATATTTTATTAGAAGTACCACATTATAATTTTCCTTTTTAAAAGAGTAGATATGGCAACAGTATTTATTACAATGGTAGATTTATAAATGTGCAAGAAGTGTTCTTACGAGAAAAAATTCCTGGCATGACACAGTGAACCCTATTTGCTAGCAACAGACATAACATTGGATTCGATATCGTCATTCCACCACGTGTTAGTGGGAAACGTGAGGCCAATAATGCGTATATTGTTTCTCTCATGGTTCTTAGCACCAGGCAGTGATAGACAGAAGAGTTTCATTGTGGTGATTAAATGTAAGCAGTTTTGTTTTAGAGTCGTTAAAATTTACAAGCCATTTCAGCCGTTACCACTAGATATTTTCGAGAGCAGGCACCCGGCTTATATTGTTTGATCTATCAGACGTTCTAATAAAGAAAAAGAATAATGGTGGTGCCATTTTCATAAATACATAGTTGGGATCTGAGGATGTCGGGGAGGTCTGCTATCCATTTACACAATTTCATTAGGTAGGTAACTAGCTGGTTTCTTTTGTTTCTTCTGCCTTCAAATGTCCTGTATATGTGTCACATTTCCCAAGCTCTCTTTCCTCATGATGAGTTTTAGAAATTCCAACTGTCTCTTCCTGATTGAATGTGTTATATGTATTGGAGACAGGTAAGAAAGATATTTTTACATTCTGATAATACTGAATGGAAAAACATTTTATGGTATAAAAAGAATATTATTTTCAGCGTTAAAATCATTGAATATTGAGTATATACATATATATTCCAGTATGGATGATACGGAGAGTTGCAGGAACTGTAAGCATATGGTAGTAAAAATAAGAGCGAAGAAAGTACTAAACATGAACTGAAAGTAGACAAAATGTAGAGCCCAAAATGTGAGTTTGGTTGATATCAGATTGTAAAAAGTAGAGAAATATACAGAAATATCGGCAACATCTTAATAGGTGATGGATAACATGACACATAAACCTGAAGATTAACTGGAATAGCGAATGAT